TACCGTTTATCCGTTTATAGTCCAAACTCTCAGAAACTTATGAATGATTAAAACTTGAAGGAGGAATGATAACTTTCTAAAATAGCTCAGGGCGTGATCTGTTTCATTTTGATAGGAAAACACATTGACGATATATTCATTAAAACTCACGCAAAAAATTATTTGGAGTGTGGGTTGAAGATCAGGAGAGAAAAGGGGAAAGAGGTGAAAAAAGAAGGAAAATGGTGTAATTAAATCCCTTAATTGAAGGCGCTAATAATGGATTGGAAGCCTTTTAAGGTGGAATGTATATATTTTGTAAACAAAACTTGTGTAGGTAGGGTAATTTACTAAACATGAACATTTAGGGTAATAATGTTTCCAGTAGTGTATAGGAATGAAAAAATCCCTTAAATAAGTGCACTATATGTGAACTTTTCAGAAAATACAAATGACCGAAATGTCAAATTCTGATTTTGAGTAACTGTTTTTTCTTGGTGGGCTTTTTTTTGTCTGCAGTTGTACAGCCAAAAAATCTAAGAATTGCACGGGCGTCATATTTGGTCGCCCCTATTTAACCTATACCCACTTTTTAAAATTTATTTAACTTGTACCAATTTTTTAAACAACTTCAGCCTTCTTTCTTCTCCTCCTCCTTCTCCTCCTTGTTTTCTTTTCTCCTTCTTCTCCTTCTTTCTTCTGCTGTTGTTGGTGCTACTATGAAATTTCAGTTCATAGGGATGAACTTTCTGCTGCTGTTGGTGCTGCTATATCCAGTAATTACAATACTGTCAACGTTCAACAATACTGCTGTTTATGAATTTTTAACTCGAAAGTTCTGTTGTCTCTATTAACCTATAATAAAACCCATAGGCATAATACCATTGAAATGGATTGCTCTCAAATAGTGGCCAAAGATTGGAGTCTTTGGGTGGAAAATATTAGCGTTTATACGTAATTTTTGTCTTCATTTATAACAGGTTATCATTCTTCATAATCTGCCTTTTTTGGCATATTGAACCAAACTATTGATATTCTTGTGGATGTATAGCCTTATTGTAAGAGCTTCTAAGAATGCTAAAGTTCAGCAGATATAAACAAAAACTTCAGCTACTAGAATGCTGAAGGTTAGCAAATATAAAACAAACTTCAGCCTTGAAGTTCATCACAAACATAAAAAAGCTTCAGCTAAAACATGCTGAAGTTCAGCAAATATAGAACAAAACTTCAGCTAAAACATGCTGAAGTTCAGCAAATACAGAACAAAACTTCAGCTACTAGAATGCTTAAGTTCAGCAATGACAAACAAAAACTTTAGCCAACACATGAACTGAAGTTTGCCATTTGCACAGTCAACTGAAGTTTGCATAATTGCCTTTGCAAGTCAAGGCAAACTTCATGCAAAAATATTTGAAGTTTTGCTACACTTCCGGCAAAATTTTTTGCTTCTTTCAGGCCCGTATGCCTGAAGTTACGCGAAAAGTGGTTACGCTTGCAATTTTTTTCTCAAAGCGGGCATAAGCTAAAATGTGACCCAAAAAGCGGGTATAGATGCAATGACCCCCAAAAATTGACTTTTTGATATTGTTTCTAAGCCAGAAAATTGATATTGTGATTATTGTATTTGTTTTTTGAACACATCACACCATGTTCATCTACTTTAATGTGACATAAAATAATTTTGTAATTTTATGTTTACAGTATAGACATATATAATTTATTGGGTCTAATCCATGCAAAATTTGGATTAAATTCAATTGGGCTAAATAATTAATTTTGGCTTTACAAGTTAAATTAGTCCATTTTATTATTTTCGAGCCCAAGATTCTTTTCATCTTAAGGCCCAGACTCATGCCATGTGTCAAGTGACATGGCATGTCCAGTCAAACCCAAAGCCAACAAGATGATGCCACGTGTTAAATGATGTGGCAATCCAAGTCAAAAAGCAAGAACTAACCACAAGTTGCCAAATGGCTAAAATGACATGGGCCAATAAGAATCAAGCAAGAGAGTTCATATGTAGCTGGACTGTCCACCCTTACAACTATAAATAGAGGGGTAACATAACTCTCAAGGGACATTCAGAGTTGGAGAAGAACACTCCGTAATTGGTGAAGGCATCCACAAACAGAGAGATCAATCATCAAGTGCTTAGTTCTTCAACAAAGGAGTGATCACGGAGTTCTTCCCGGAGATCAACCCATAACAACAAAGTGCTGCTCGACGTTCTTGGCGATTAAATACATCACAAGGAGGTCTGCATCATCCTACATTCGAGAAAGACGCTTCTCAAGCCCTCGAATCACGGAGAATTTTAGAGAGGAGAATCAAGGGATACATAGAATTGTACTTACAAATATTTATCAATAAAATCACTTTTTCTTTATATTACTTTTGTTGCAGTTTATTTTTCATATTACGAAAAATTTGTTGCGAACAAATTTTGGCACGCCTAGTGGGACCAATTCTGCCCTTCATCTCTCCTTCTTGCAAGTTGAAAACTACAAACTTATGATCTACTGCTACAATGGCCTTCTGCAAGTGTGATGTTTCATGCAAAGATGCTACTATTGTCGCATCTGCTAAGCTCAGTCATGTTGGCCCAATGACTCGAAGCAAGTTCAAGGCTAGTGGCTTGGATGGATCCGAATACTTCGCATCCTTGGATATGGCAAAGAAAAGTAGATCTCATATGACGTTCGCAACCGCAATCTCTGGGTCAACACCCCATTCTCGATGTTTGACGAACTTTCTCAAACAACCTCGAACCTTGGCGGATTTGGTGGATTCTTCAGTTTCAACGAAAGTCAATGCCTTGATGACCTATGCAACTAACGTGGACGAAAAGTTTGCCATGATGGAACAGACTATAGAGGTCTTGAAGAAATCTGTTGAAGACAAAGACCTTCAAATCGCTCAACTCATGAACAAATTGGAGGCCTATGCACCTGGAGAGTCGAGCCATGTCCCTCCTCGTTCACCTGTCTTCACCTCCCAGAAAACAGCTGTTGAGGAATCATTTGCAAAGTTAAACATTCAAAAGGAAAAGCAATCTACTTCAGTTGCGGCGTTATCTGTCCAACAATTGTAAGACATGATAACAAACACCATCAGAGCTCAATATGGCAGACCATCGCAAAGTTCGTTGTACTACTCTAAGCCTTCTACTAAGAGGATTGATTGTTTAACCATGCCAACCAATTATCAACCATCAAAGTTGCATCAATTAGATGGCAAAGGGAACTCAAGGCAACATATTGCCCACTTTGTCGAGACTTGTAGCAATGTTGGAACGCAAGGTGACCTTGTGGTAAAATAATTTGTTCGTTCTTTAAAAGGGAACGCATTTGACTGGTATATTGACTTGGAGCCCGAGTCCACTGATAGTATGGAGCAACTTGAGAAGGAATTCCTCAATCGTTTTTACAGTACCCGAAGAACTGTAAGCATGATAGAGTTGACAGGCACCAAGCAAAGGAAGGACGAGCCCGTGGTGGATTACATTAATCGTTGGAGGGCGTTAAGTTTGGACTGCAAAGATTGCCTTTCAGAAATATCTGTTGTGGAGATGTGCATTCAAGGAATGCACTGGGGCCTTTTGTATATTCTACAAGGGATCAAACCGCGAACTTTTGAAGAACTTGCAACACGAGCGCACGACATGGAGTTAAGCATCGCAAGTCATGGAAAGGCATCTCCATTTGCTGATCAAAAGGAGTTCAAGAAAAATGTTGCATCAAAGAACCAAACCAAAGAATCAATGGCGGTGAAAGCAACTTCTGTGAAGATCACTACTAAGCAAAAAGTTAAGGAGGATAAGACCCCGAGTCAATATCCCAAAGAGGAGAAATGTCGTCCCACCTTGAAGGAATTAGAGGCGAAGGTTTATCCATTTCCAGATTCAGACGTACCCACAATCCTTGATGAACTGCTGGACAAGAAAGTCATCAATCTCCCTGAATCAAAAAGGCCAAGGAGAAAAAAATGGCTCTTGTAAGTGAAGGAAAAATCATCATAGACATGGATTTTCAGCAGAAGCAAATCATGCAAGTATCGCGCTCAAGGAAAAGAAGTGTTCAAAGTTGCCTAACATGTCAAGCACTGCCTTCTTACAATTTGGAAGTTTCGAGCCCGTTGAAGTTGATCTTCCAAGGAAATCTCTTGAAGGTTCACTAGAGCTAGACAATCACTCCAAAGACAATGACGATGAGGGTTGGATTCTAGTCACTCACAAAAAGCGAAAACATCAGGCAGTTATGAGGCTACGAATTCCTAATTCAAGAGCGATGATGAGCAATGCAGATATGCTATAATCACCAAGAAATATCAAATCTTCTACTAGCAAGAAGATTAACAGTGCCTTATCGCCGAAGTTTCGAAAGCCCATCACATTGCATGAATTCTTTCCGGGAAAATTCCTTCATGGAGGTCACGTTAGTGCAACTCATGTAGTTTCTAGTACTGACGAAACAAAGGAAAGCAACGGTGAGTTTGCTCCAATGAAAACACATGAACATCATGATAAAGGAAAATTTGTCACATGTTGTGCAACAATTTCATTCATAGATGATGAATTGTTGATGGGGTTGTAGACATGTGATTTTTGACTCTCCCCGAAATTTCACCCATTTTAGCAAGTAAATATTTAGTTTAGGCCTAATATCGCTATTTCAGCTAATTTTGACTCTTTACTTTATTTTTTCACAAAAAAATAAAAATTAAAAAAATATTTTAGTTCACGTATCTTTCGTAAATTTAAATAAAAAATATACAAAAATAGTACCTTATCTTCATTTTTATATAATCTTGAAAACACAAAAAAAAAATAGTTTTATGTTTTATAGTTTAGTTCAATTAATTAAAATTAGTTTTATATTTTTATATTATAATTGTACATAATTTTAGAAGGAGTAATTAGTTTTAGGTTGGTTTATCCCGTATTTATAAATCTTGTAGTCCATATTTTTTAGTCCTTGACCCAATTCCTTAGCCCATAATCGCTAGGCCCATACCCCTAACCTAATTCCTACCCCTATATATAGTATCTAATACCTAAAATAAACCTACACACCCTAGACACCAAAAAACATTAGATCCGCCGTTCCATCTTCTAGACTACAAAAACCTAAAGCTTCAGCACCAAGAAAAGAAACGAAACGAAGAACACAAAAAGAAAAGGACGTCAGTCCTTTGAATTCAAAAAGAAAAGGAAAAAAAAGCACACAAAAATACACAAAAATAACGCACCCAGGGACACTGAAAAGGATTTGAGCGCTGTTACCCCAAGGATCACGCCTTCTTCTTCTTCATGAAGAATGCCTAAGACCTGAAAAAAAACACAAAAATGGGGAACTGATCCGCCGTTTGGACCCGTCGAGAACACCCCTCCCCCCCCTCTCCGTTCTGCTTCTTCTTCTTCAACCAAACAACACTGATCTCCGCCCGAACTCACCTCTGAATTTCTGTCCAACCACCTTCAAAATACTATTGTTTCAGTCCAAAATCTAGCTCAAAAATAGCTGAAAATAACTTCAAAATCAGGTGGAGTTCATCTCCGTCGTTTTGGTTTAGTTCAAGTTTTCCGGTGAGCTTCGAGTCGTCGAAAGTTGCTGTCCGATTCTCCGTTCAGTTGCACGTCGAGGTACTGTTGTTGTCGCCGGTGAGTTTCCGTTTAATGGTTCCGGCTCCGGTCAGAAATTCACTCTTGTTTGAATTTTGAAAGAAGCAGTCAAGTAATAGCAAAGGTCCGACTCTTACTTTACTTCTTGAATGTTTATTGTGTGATTTTGCCTAATATCATGCTTAGTATGGGATATATTGCTTAATGCTCTGTTTAATAACGTCTTGGTACTGGTTTGATCCCTGTTGTTCTTGTTGTGAATTGCTCTGTTTTAATGACGTTTGGGTACCAAAAGCAACTGTTGTTCTTGTTGTTTAAGTTCAATATGTATTTGGATGAGTTTATTGGCTTAGATGAATTTGTAAATTTCTGTTGCAATTCTTATTAAAGGATACTGTTTAAAGCTTCTTAATTAACTTTTAGTAATAAAGTTTGTACATGTGCAACAAACAGAATTTGGTTATGGAAACATAATATTGAGAGGGTAGATCTTTTAATTGGAATTGGCTAAACCAACTTTAGTTCATAATAAATGATTACCGAACATGTTCCAAAATCGTTAGCATGCCTTTATGCACATTCTCGTAACGAATATATCGTGATTGTGTACACGTTCGCGTGACATAATTATGATTTTAAAAACCCATCCGGAGTATGCGCTAGCGCAACTTCAACCAAATTTTCTTAATAAATAAACAAAGCGTTATTAATCGTGGACACGTTCGCGTGACATGGTTTTTGACGCGCCAAAGGAAAAGAGTGTACGTACGCGTAACTCAATTCTTTAATTACGAATAATCAAGTGATTTAAAAGCGGTAAAAAGACAATTGCACATAGGTCCTAAAAATGAGTAGTTAAATAAGTTAAGCCAAGTATAAATTGCTAAACGACCGTGCTAGAACCACGGAACCCGGGAATGCACCTTCTCCAGGGTTAACAGAATTCCTTACTTAGAATTTCTGGTTCGCAGACTTCAAAAGGAAAGTTGAAATTTCCTCGATTTGGGATTTAAAATAAAGCGGTGACTTGGGACACCATAATTATTCCAAGTGGCGACTCTGAAAAATTAAATAAATAATCCAATTTCGAATAATGTCACTTAAATTGGAAAAATTCCCTTATATCCCTCACGGGAGTGAAAAAAAGGAGGTGTGACAGCTCTGGTGACTCTGCTGGGGATAAGAACCCAGAACTTTCGGTTCAGGGTTCAAGAATTCGAGCTTGTTAATGTGATTTTTTATTTGCCTTTATTGTTGATATTACTGTATTTTATGGACTTAATGTGCTAATTATCATTTACTGCTTTGATATTACTTGAACTGTATTTAAATGTCTTCTTACGCCACCCATCTGAGTCTTCTGAAAATGGTGCACACGTTCGCGTGGCCTGCTTTTTCTGTAGAAATTATACCAAATAAGACGGGGCTGGGCAACCAACAAGGCCGGGCAGACTTTCGTGCTCCCGGTACGTTGCCCCCTCCTCGACCCCAGTTGTCCGCTCGGGTGACCCAAGTCTAGACCACAAACCCCAGGTTTTAAACCTAGAATAACGCAACCCCATGCCGAATCCCTAGTAAGAACGATTATTTGCATCACGTGCATTTGACCTTGGGGACCCAACACAGGGGTTGGGTCCGTCTAGGACAGGTGTACCCCAAAATAAAGACCATCCTGATGCATCCTACGTGCTATGTGAATATTTATTTCGGCTTGCATGTTGATCGGTTAATAAAGAGAAAAACCAAGAGTGAGGTAGGATAGAAAATTTACTCGGTTTCTAAAAATCCCGGTATTTGAAGATGTCCCGAAACTCTGCCGAATTTTTGAAAAACAAAAAAAAAGAAAATTGTATTTCAAAAGAGTGAGTTAAATATCATATATTTTGCGTCGATCTTGGCGAACTACGCGGGTCTGATTCTCACCGGATGTGACATACGTAGGCAAACCTCATCGGTTCCGGCCCACCATTTTCAAAAAGTCCAAAAATATTTTCATTTACTTCCTTCTTTAGAAAGTCTTTCTTTTAGACCCAAAATTTCTAAAAATACAAAAATATTTTCTATTAATTTCTTCTTAAAATCCAAAAATATTTTCGTTCTTCTATCAACAATTCAAAAGAAAATTCAAGATTCAAAAATATTTCTCTTTTCTTTAGAGTATTTCTTTCATAAATTCAAAAATAAAAGTCCAAAATCCAAAAATATTTTCTTTCTTCTTTAGAAGTTTTTCTTTTGAAATTCCAAAAAATAGTAATCAAAAAATATTTTCTTTCTTCTTTATATAAGTCTTTCTTTTGGAAAAAAAAGAAAAAAAGAAAAAAAATTCAAAATCCAAAAAAAAAAGAAGAGTTAGTTTATTTTCTTTATTCACGATCTTCCCGAACTACGCAAGATCTGATTTATGTTCCCACATGATATGTAGGCAACCCACATCAGGTTCGATCAACCATTGAAAAGAAAAATGAAAAAAAACAAAAGTGAAAAAATGATGATAATAATAAGGACTGACTGAGTCCACTCTAACATGTTTTGTTTTGAATTGTGAAGTAAGTTGAGGTGGTCGGTTTGTGGTAAGCAGACAACACAAGATCCAAGGAAAAAATGTCAATGACAACCGACATCGAAGCTGTTACAAATGCTCAAGAGGCTCCGGGTCAGAGGGTTCAACAAGAGTCTACTGTGTTTGAGAAAAATAGAATACTGAGGCAGCAAATGACCGAAATGTTTCAAGCATGGGCCAGTGGTCAAGGACAGCCTCGTCATGAGTCACAATTTGCTACACAGCAAGAGCAGTACCACTCTCCTGAGTACCACTCGTACTCGTTTGATCTTCCTGCAAACATTGAGAAGCCTGCCCGAAAGATGACACAGGAAGAAATGACCCAAAGAGTAAAAAGCTTAGAACGATGGTTGAAAAAACATGCAAGGGTTGGCAGGTCAGGAGAGTATTGCCTTCAAGGATCTATATATGTTCCTCGATGTCCATTTGCCGCCTGGTTTCAAGAATCCCAGATTTAAAAGTGTGATGGACATGGAGTATGAGAATCCTCTTGGGAACTTGCCGACTGAAATTGGAGAAGGCCATGGTGATTCTGATGAGCAAATTTGTGGCTAAATGTCAGGCTTATCAATTGAAAAGTCATTCCCTCCTCACTTAGGAAGGAATCTTGGTAGCTTGTTTTGATGTTTTTTCTGTTATCTGGTTTATTTCAGGGTTGTGATCCAGATTTTATTTGCTTTATTGAGTAAAACCCTTCTATCTTTCTATTCTATTTGTATGAGTCATGTCTGTCTGTTTTGTTGCTATTTTCATTATCTGGATTATTTTAGGTTTGTAACTCGGATCTTAAGTTGTTTGTCTTGTTGTCAAACCCTTTCATCCTTTACTCAATAAAATACAGTTTGTCCTTTTGTGTCATTCTATTCTTAGTTCTTTTCGGGCAAGTTCTAATAACATGACATGCATGCGGAAATTTTGGCCAGATCTTAGAACTGATTTAATCTGGAATTAGATAACTGAAAAAAAAAGCACTTTTGAGGATGAATAAAGAGTTGAAATACTTGGGAATAAAAGCAGAAACATATATAGTCAAGGATGGGAGGGGGAAACATGCTGCGGGAAAATACCAAATAGCCACAAGAAAACATCAGTTAAATATATGGAACACCACAATTCAATTTTCAACAAGAATTAGAAATCAAATAAGTGCACGGCACCGCCCTTCGTGCTTTTACTCTCGTCTTCACCATAATATCAATATAAACTGCACGACATCATCCTTCGTGCTTTTACTCTCATCCTCACCATAAAATCAATATAATCGGCACGGAATGGTACATCGTGCGGCATGGCATCACCCTTCGTGCTTTACACTCTTCCTCACAAATAAAGATAATAATGCACAGCATCATTCTCCGTGCTTTAACACTCCCTCACCAAAATAATGCACGGCATCACCCTTCGTGCTTTACACTCTTTCTCACCCAAACAGCAAACACAAACAAATAAGGGCAAGGAATAAATGAATCATAATAAAAATCTCGGCAAGGGAACAATATCAAAACCACAACATCCCGGCAAGGGATCAACATTTGAAACCACAACGTCCCAGCAAGGGATAAATACCATAATTCTCTTCTTATTTTCACATTTTCCTCACAACTTGGTTCACAAATTGAGACAATGCTCTACAAGGTTTAATTGCCAATTACACTTCCACAATTCGCTCTACAACTTGAGCCAACGCTCTTCAATATACAAATACCAATGTTCTTTCCACAAGCTTGCTCAACAATAGCAATCAACACATTAAACATGAACCGTACAAACAAAGTCACATTAATCACAACATAAGACTCACGGGCATGCTTGACACCAACGTATAGATACTCGTCACCATGCATATACGTCGTACTCAACACATAACACATAGCATATAAGACCAAACTCCTATTCCCTCAAGCTAAGGTTAGACCAAACACTTACCTCAATGCCACGAACACAATTCACGCCTCAACTATAGCTTTACCCCTTGATTTCACCACCAATTCGCTCGTATCTAGTCACAAGTTACTTAATTACATCAATAAACGCTAAATCAACAAATTCTAATGCATGAAAATAAGTTTTCTAAAGTTTTACCCAAAAGTCAAAAATCAACCCCGGGCCCACATGGTCAAAACCCGACTACCCATTCACCTATGAACTCAAATATATAATTTGTTTTGAGAAAGTGTGAACAATGGTTAAAAATTCGTCTAAGTATGGATTTTACAGGTCTCTGATATTGCAACTGCAACCAGGGTTGGCAATTGTGAACCAAGACCCTGCTAAGATCGCATTTGCGAGCAAAAATGTCGTATTTGCGACCAGGCTCAACTTCTGGTCACCTTGGCATTTGTGATAGACCTCGCATTTGCGAGTTGGGAATTGCGAACAACATGTCACATTTGCGATGACTGGCTACAAACTGGGGCTATCGCATTTGCGATAATTCTCTCGCATTTGCGAGGTAGGCTGGCCTAGGCTAGTTTCGCATTTGCGACAAAGCCATCGCATTTGCGATCTCGCATTTGCGAGCCAGGCTTCGCAAATGCGAAGCCTGCAGGCCTGCAATAGAACAGTTGAAACCTGCAATTTTCCCAAGTCCGATTCTACTCCGTGGCCTATCCAAAACTAACCCGAGCCCTAGGGGCTCCAAACCACTACACCAACCCAAAAAAATCATACGAACTCGCTCGTGCATTCAAATCACCATAATAACATCAACAACTATGAATTTAGTACCAAAATCATGAAATCACTCAAGAACATCAAATTCCCAATTTTTTTTCAAATGAGGTCCGATTCATGTCAATTCAAATCCGTTTCTTACCAAATTTCACAGACTCAACTTAAATCACATATAAGACCTGTACCGGGCTCTGGAACCAAGATACGGGCCCGATACCATCAACTTTCAAACACATTTCATTTTTAAAAACTCATGTATTTTTCAGAAAATAATTTTCTTCAAAAATTCATTTCTCGGGCTAGGGACCTTGGAATTCGATTCCGGGCACACGACCAAGTCCCATATTTTCTTACGGACCTCCCGAGATCGTCGGAACACGGATCTGGGTCCGTTTTCTCAAAATGTTGACCGAAGTCAACTTAAATTCATTTTAAAGGCAAAATTTATTATTTTTCACTGATTTTCATATAATGGCTTTTCGGCTAAGCACCCGGAATGCGCACGCAAATCGAGGTGAGGTAAAAAAGGAGGTTTTTAGGCCTCATAACACTGAATTTGTTTCTAAAATAAGTGATGACTTTTTGGGTCATCACAGTCACAAAGGTGAACGTGTATCTTCCAAACATCTAAAAGAAGTTTCCACTACCTCAAAGACCTCTGTCTTTTGTCGCCTAGGGACCACAAGGAAGTTGCCATCTAGAAAGATACTGTCAAAACATAAGGAGCAAGTCCATGAGGAGCGGGATCATTTTGAAGTTGTTGCTGACAAAGAAATCTGTAGTTCTTTCCCATCACGTATGAAGAGGAAGTCTATTTCGTCAATATCCACAGATGGTCCGCTGAAGGTGCAAAGGAGAACCATTGATTACACTCGCCAGCCTCATAAAGAAGCAGAGAAAGAGAAAGAAGCCGTGCAGACTATCCAAGGAAGTCAAACAGAAAAGTCAGACTTTGTGGAAACATCCTATCACATAACTGTGGAAGATAACCCATGCCTTGACGTAGATGATGAGTACACGAGGCTCCCCCTCAACTAGAAGATGGTGGACAATCGACCGTGAATGAGCTCAAGGAACTCAATTTAGGCACTCCGGAAGATCCACGCCCCACCTTCATTAGTGCACTTCTTACGCCTCAGGAGGAGGAGGAATACTCCAAGTTATTGACTGAGTACAAACATGTCTTCGCTTGGTCGTATAAAGAAATACCTGGTCTTAGTCCTAAGGTAGCCGTTCATCATTAGGGGATCAAAAGTGGAGCACGCCCTGTGAAGCAGTCACAACGCATGTTTCGACCCGAGCTTGTATCACAAATTGAAGTCGAAGTCAACAAGCTCATCGAGTAAGGATTTATTCGAGAGGTGAAGTACCCATCATGGATATCGAATATTGTACCTGTCAAGAAGAAGCAGTCAAATACGTGTTTGTGTTGACTTTCAAGACCTAAACAAGGCATGCCCAAAAGATGACTTCCCGCTACCAATTATTGAACTCATGGTTGATGCTACAACAGGGCATGAAGTTATGTCATTCATGGATGGGTCCTCCGGATACAATCAAATCAGGATGTCTCCAAAGGATGAAGAGTGTACTGCTTTCCGAACTCCAAAAGGGATATATTGCTACAAAGTGATGCCCTTCGGTCTGAAGAATGCCGGTGCCACCTACCAAGGCGCGATGCAAAACATCTTTGATGACATGCTTCATAAGAGGGTTGAATGCTACGTCGATGACTTGGTGGTGAAGACGAAGAATTGACGTTATCACCTTGAAGACCTTCGAATTGCTTTTGAAAGGTTAAGAAAATTTGACTTGAAGATGAACCCACTCAAGTGTGCATTTGGATTTACCTCAGGAAAGTTTCTTGCCTTCATTGTGCGTCATCGTGGAATTGAAGTTAATCCTGCAAAGATTGACGCCATTCAGAAAATGCCCAGGCCAAAGAACTTGAGAGATCTTCGAAGTCTCCAAGGAAACTTAGCATTCATCCGGAGGTTCATCTCTAATCTAGCCGGACGGTGTCAACCTTTCAATCATCTATTGAGAAAGCATATCCCTTTTCATTGGGATCAGTCATATCAAAATGCTTTTGAAAGCATCAAAACATACTTGCTGAATCCACCTGTGTTAGGGGCGCCAATGCTTGGGACGCCATTGATACTCTACATCGCGGCACAGGAACGTTCACTTGGAGCACTGCTTGCTCAAGAGAATGTGGAAGGAAAGGAACAAGCCTTGTACTACCTTAGCCGAACTCTGATAGGAGCTGAGATGAACTATACGCCTGTTGAGAAAATATGCTTAGCGTTACTTTATGCGATAAAGAAGCTAAGGCATTATTTTGAAGCATACACCATCAAACTCATCTCTCGAGCAGATCCCGTGAAATTCGTGATGACTCGACCTGTTCTTTCTGAACGCCTAGCAAGATGGTCCATATTGTTTAACGAATATGAGATCACATACACACCTCAAAAAGCTGTGAAAGGACAAGCACTGGCCAATTTTCTGGCTGATCACCCTCTTCCGGCAGAATGGGAGCTTTCGGATGAGTTTCCAGATGAAGACGTTTTGTTCATCGAAGATTTCCACCATGGAAAATGTTCTTTGATGGATCTGCACGTCGTAACGGTGCGGGGGCAGGTGTGGTGTTGATCTCTCCAGAAAGACAAGTCTTGCCATTCTCCTTTGTTTTAGGTGAAACATGCTCCGACAATGCTGCAGAGTATCAAGCTTTGATCGTCGGTCACGAAATGGCATTAGAAATGAAGATTCTACAGTTGGAGATCTACGGCGACTCTAAGCTGATCATCAACCAACTTTTGGGGAGTTACGAGGTAAAGAAGGAAGATCTATTGTCATACCATGAATACGCTTCTGGTTTACTGGAAAAATTTGACCGAGTGTTCTTGAACCACGTCCCAAGAGAAGAATATCGCAAGGCTGATGCTTTGGCTAACTTGGCCACGACGATGGCACTTGGAGAGAATGAGTCAACAAAGGTATATGTGTGTCATCGATGGGTTATTCCTAGACTTCTAGATCTTCAAATCAACGAAAGCCATCATACGTCTGTCTGAATGATTGAAGAAGAAGATTGGAGGCAACCACTAATAGAGTACCTTGAACATGGAAAGTTACCTGAAGATCCGCGACAAAGAACAGACATCAAATGAAGAGCACTACGATTCATCTTCTATAAGGGGACATTGTTTCGCCGCTCTTTTGAAGGACTATTCTTGCGATGTCTTGACAAAGAAGAAGCCTGCCAAGCGATGGAGGAAGCACATTCTGGCTCATGTGGAGCACACCAATCTGGTCCCAAGCTCCATTTTCGCATCAAGAGGATGGGCTACTACTGGGCGACAATGGTGAAGGATTGCATGGATCATGCCAAAAGATGTCAAGCGTGTCAATTTCATGACAACTACATCCACCAACCTCCAGAGCCCCTTCACCCAACTGTAGCTTCATGGCCTTTTGATGCATGGGGACTTGATGTTGTTGGACCACTTCCAAAGTCATGAAAGGGACATATTTACATATTGGCCGCTACAAACTACTTCTCTAGATGGGCTGAAGCTGCTCCACTCAAGGAGGTGAAAAAGGAGACTGTTGTCGATTTTATCAAGTCATATATAATTTTTAGGTACGGCATACCAAGATACATAATCACTGATAATGGAACGCCGTTTGACAACAAGCTCATGAAGAGTATGTGCGAGAAGTTCGGCTTCAAGCAACATAAGTCTTCAATGTATAATGCACCCGCCAACGGTCTTGCTGAAGCTTTTAACAAGACGCTTGGTAACCTTTTGAAGAAAGTTGTTGCAAAGAACAAGAGAGACTGGCATGAGAGAATTGGTGAAGCTTTGTGGGCATACCGGACAACCTTCAGAACTACTACACAAGCAACTCCTTACTCTTTGGTATATGGCACAGAAGCAGTCCTGCCGTTGGAGCAACAAATTCCATCATTGCGGATAGCAATCCAAGAAGGACTCACGTCCGAAGAGAATGCTCAACTTCGCCTAGCAGAGTTAGCGGCAATGGATGAGAAAAGATTGGAAGCGCAACAAAAATTGGAATGCTATCAAGCTCGACTAGCTAGAGCCTTCAACAAGAAAGTGCGGCCACGATCATTCCAAGTGGGAGACTTAGTCCTAGCTGTTCGACGACCCATAATCCTCAACAAACGCATAGGCGACAAGTTTACCTCAAAATGGGATGGGCCATACGTTGTGAACGAAACCTATTCATGTGGCGCATACAAAATTGTCAATAAGGATGGTCTCAGAGTTGGTCCGATCAACGAAAAATTTCTGAAGCAGTACTTCCCATAAAAGTCACTTACGCTCCTCGACTTACGAGCCTAAACTGCAAGTCATGACGCTCCTTGATGCATGAGCTTAAACTGCACGTTGCTACACTCCTGGCCCGCATGAGTCTAAACTGTGTACGGCCAAAAAAAAAAGTCTGCTAGGTTGAAAACCTCGAAAGAGGCGGCCTAGGCAAAAGTCAAGACCAAAAAATAAAGTCATCCCTCTGAACTACGTTATGACTTGATCCTCTTCACCGAGGTACGTAGGCAGCTTAGAGTTTCATTCTAAGTTCAGTCGCATGAGTTTTAAAAAAATAAAAGTTTGGCGTCATCGAATCATTACATTAATTCTTCCAAGTGTAGAGGCACACATCTATGAGGAAAAGAAGATGATTTGCGTTGAAATATAAAAGATGTTTTATTGCTTCAATAGTACAAAAGTTGATACATTCAAAAATGTAGAGACAAAAGGAACCAGACATTTTTCTATACAAAAGCCTAAATCATGAAGATGATCATACACTAGGCTTTGCTGCTGACGCATCTCAATTGCTTTTTCTGTATGACGTCTCCACATTTGATGCCATTCCCGATGTATGTCTCTCGCATGCAGTAGTTGTGATGATCTCTCGATCACATCTTGTTAGGCCTCGAGCATGATAGTTTTCTTCTCTTGTGCAAGTGTCGGTTGAAGGTCCCATATATGAGAAGTCGTCTCTCTGGAAAAAATCTTCAATCACCATGGGAACTGCCATTTATGAACTTCAAGACAATCAACAAATCCAGTGCAACAGTTGGTGAAGGGGTGGCTCCGCATCTTGTATGACACCTCGGCTGATATCTAGACCCTTTGAGCTTCTTTGCGAGTCTACAAAAGAAATAAATGAAGAGATAAGATTTGTGACGCATGATATCCAAAGTTACTATATGCAAGACTGTAGAGTCAGTTTCAAGAAAACAACAACATTCATAGGACGACTCGGAGAGCATAGAGGTGGGAAGCGAGCTCAACGGACGACGGGGTCAACTTTGGAAAACTACTGTGGTCCATACGGAAGACTTTATGCCCCAAACATTTTATATGTTGTAGATTTGGATGTCTAATCTCCAACAACACAATCCGTTTGCGATTCAGAGGCTCCTAGATCAAGATACGATTTTGGTTGTCGGAACCGCACGAATCTAAAAGTTTACTGCAGCTAGGTCGCATTTTGAGAATTTTCTGTTTCCAGCCCAAAAAGAGTTCTGCCGTGAAATTCATATGAGATGCAGCTCTACGAGTTTACTTTCTAAAGGCGTAAACGGATCGCAATTTGGAGATTTGTAGCTTGAGATATGAATTTTTCCACTGGAGCGCGCAAAGCTGAAAAGCAGCAAGGCAGACGTCTAAATCAATTTCAAGAAAATGCTGCGCCTAATCTAGAAGGAATACTTCTGTGATATTTTGAGGATTTTCTAATCTCTGGGTCTTCTTTCCAGTGTCAGAGAGGGCTCATGATTTCGACGTTCCTAGCCCAAGATATGAGTTTCTTCATCTAGAGTGCGCTAATCTGAAAATCAAGTGCGGCAGATGTCTGTAGCAGCTTCAAAATATCATGGCGGACATTCTGAAAGGATTTTTTCTGTGGTATTTACAGATATTGTAAGTGGCGGAGTTTCTATCCAATGGAACAGACGGCTTGCGATTCCGACACCTGTAGCTCGAGATGTGAATTTTTTCCACAAGAGCGCGCAAAGCTGAAGGAGCCCGCATGTCGAAACTCTTCGCCTAAATTCTGGAATATATCTGGGAAGATATAGTGTCAATCTGAATGTGATCTTTATATAATTTGTAGCTCTTGAAGTCTACTTTCCGACGCCACAAACCGCTCGTGATTTCAATGTTGCTACACAAAGATATGAATCTTTTGGTGGAGGCGCGCAAAGCCGTAAATTGAGCACTGCAGAATTTGAAACGAAATTTCAAAATAATACCTTAGAAGCTACAGAAGGAATTTCGCCCCAAATTTTTGATATGTTGAATTACTTGAAGTGTAGTGTCAATAGGATCAGACGGCTTGTGTTTCCGGTGTTCCTACGACAACATATGGTGGTTTTCTCCATAGATGCCGAAAGATGATTATCCCGGACAGATTCTGCAGCAGAAGGGAAAAGATTTTGGAGGCCTCGGTGCCAATGGAACGAAACTTTTGGTTCTGTCTAGTGGATGGTGTCAATGACACGAGGCTACAACTCGTCATGATAGATAAACGTACTCGCGACTCGAAGTTCGGATCAGCGTGACAGTTAATGGCGCCAACGGCGCGAAGCCTGAAACTATCGCCAAGTTTAATATCAAAACAACCATCCAAATTGCTGAAAGTTTGCAGATTCAAACTTCCTTCCTGGGTGATGTCAATTCCTGCAAGAAAAAAAAGGAAAAGGAGATTTTGGAGCCCTCGGTGCCAACAACACGAAGTTTTTAGATACGGCGCCAATAGCACGACGATTCAGCACCATGGCGCTTCAGTTTGACATAAAAAAAAGGACATCGGAAGCAGCATAACAGTCTAGTTCAGCATGGCAGGTATCGGTGCCCATGACACGAAGCTTTAACTTGCAGCAAAAAAAGAAAAAAAATTGGTCTTGAACAGCGATCTCCATTGCTCCAAGTTTGCAAATTTGGCTTCTCATGCTGGTGGAGTCCTTCAATATGGATTAATTCTTAATAAAGAAGCAATACAGGAAGCACAACTACGTCCCCAAATTATTGCATGGTGCGCGCTTGGTTGCTTCTAGTTCTCTTTTCTACCAATTTAAATTGAATGATCTGCTGCATAAAAACAAAAAAGGAGAGAGAGCAAGTCATGATTCAAGAAAAAAATGAAGGAGACAAAAAAAAAGGAATGAAAAAAAAGCGCGAGTGCAAGCAGTTCGTGGAAGCAAGTGGGGATGGAAGAAGCTCTAGTATCCGTTTTGATGCTTCGATCCAGTTAGACAGAAGAGCTTGATATTCAATTGTGATGGAAAACTAGTTGGCTTGGTCCTCTTTTTATAGAGATCTAACAAAGTATGAGCTATAAGTAAATAAAACAAGGAGTTAGAATCCTAGAAGGAAAAAGATGTTGCCTTGTCCTACAAGGTCAAAAAATATTTTTCCTTGTTTGCTTTTGGTAAAAAGGAAAAGAGGGCTAACGTGAGACAAACATGGAATGTTTTGTTCAAACCAAATTACATTAGCATGTATGGAATTTCACGCATTTATTTTCCTTGTTTGCTCTTGGTGAAAAAGGAAATATGCCTAGCGTGAGACAAACATGGATAGTTGTCTATAATTTGCAAGAATTTTTCAATCACCATAGTTTGTAATTGTTACTTTCAAACCAAATTACACTGCGCGCGTGTTCGACAACCGAAGTATTGGAAAGTTAAGTTTTGCTTGGAGCTTGTATTTAGCACTTCACATAAATGTGCAACTGGATAAAAGTTCGGATTTGACCGATAGAAGTCACCACAAGTGCTAAAACAAAAATATCAACATTCGTCGGTACTTCAAGTCTCGTCATTCGTTTCAGCAAGCCTACACTTCGACAAATCTTGAAGTAGGAGGCATCTGTAGACATATAAAATTTATTTGGTCTAATCCATGCAAAATTTGGATTAAATTCAATTGGGTTAAATAATTAATTTGGGCTTCACAAGTTAAATTAGTCCATTTTATTATTTTCGAGCCCAAGGTTCTTTTCATCTTAAGGCCCAGACTCATGCCATGTGTCAAGTGACATGGCATGTCCAGTCAAACCCAAAGGCAACAAGATGATGCCACGTGTTAAATGATGTGGCAATCCAAGTCAAAAAGCAAGAACCAACCACAGGTTGCCAAATGGCTAAAATGACATGGGCCAATCAGAATCAAGCAAGAGAGTTCATATGTAGCTAGACTGTCTACCCTTTACAACTATAAATAGAGGGGTTACATAACTGTCAAGGGACATTCAGAGTTGGAGAAGAACACTCCGCAATTGCTGAAGGCATCCACAAACAGAGAGATGAATCATCAAGTGCTTAGTTCTTCAATAAAGGAGTGATCAACGGAGTTATTCCCGGAGATCAACCCGTAACAACAAAGTGTTGCTCGACGTTCTTGGCGATTAAATGCATCGCAAGGAGGTCTGCATCATCCTACATTCGAGAAAGACGCTTCTCAAGCCCTCGAATCACGGAGAATTTTAGAGAGGAGAATCAAGGGATACATAGAATTGTACTCACAAATATTTATCAATAAAATTACTTTTTCTTTATATTATTTTTGTTGCAGTTTATTTTTCGTATTATGAAAATTTGTTGCAAACATACAGTAAGTAAGATAATCCTATGACTTTAATGTTATAGTGAAGTTAACCTTTTTTTTGGCTACGACACTATTGATGATGCAATTGAAACAGGATCTTACTCTTCCAACTTATTTGGTGAGACTAGTACCATTGTTTGACGAGTCAAGCTTATTGAAGGACTCCACATTCACAAATGAGAAATATGGTTCGGTTCGTGGTGTTTACGTTGTATGCGACAAGGATAACGTGCTTAAGGAAGAACAACTACAAAGGTGCATGGTTGATCAAGAATAATCCACCGGATGATGTTGAGTTTATTCATGATGCAGATCACATAGTGATGTTATCCAAAGCTCGGGAGTTATGTTCTTGTCTGCTTATGATTTCACGAAAATATCATTGATTCTTTCACCTTGCTACTATTACACGGGAAACAAAACAAAGCATGTTTAGAAGTGCAATTAAGAACAACACGCATAGCTAGGTCGGATAGAAATTCAATTCCCAATAAATATTAGCTCCTTGTGGATATCGATCCCACCTTTCGGGTAAAAGCTGCATCGACCACTCTTTGCCATTTTATATTGGTATAGGGTTGGAACCGATCAACAACCCAGTAAAACAAATAAATTTCACCTATCCTTTTCATTTTAACCCCATTTCTTCATCAAATTAGGGCAGATTCCATTTTTCTTCCTCCTCAAAATTG